TCACAAATGACAAAAACAAAGACTTGAAAAAGAAGCATTCTGGACAAATGTTAGAGATTTCCAATGTAGATTTACATAAAGATAAAGCTGCTTCAACATGTTTGCAGCTGGCTTGTGTATTGGATGAACTAAACACAAATTTAGGAGAAAGATTGCTCACTTGCTTCAATATTATCAACAACACACATGATTACGATACAACAACACTGTCAACCACATTTAATCATGAAGGAAACAATGAATTTGTTCCACAATTAGAAGTTATCTTAACTGATGTTTTAGCCTCGCTTGATACATCAAACAATTCATTAAATGTTTCAAAATCGGTGAATAGATCAGTGCAAAGTCATGAAGAAAGCCTACTATCATCTGTTTTTGTCGATATGGAAAAGAGTTTGTATAATAATCCAGAGTATATCACTACTTTCCGGATTATAGCTGACCGATTAACACATGTGTTGTATCAATACCATGAATCCGCTGGTAAAGTTGAAGTTTTGAATGCCAAAATGAAACAATTACAGAATTTAAGCAGGTTTGGCTTGAGTTATGATTCAATCAGGTATAACACACCTTCAAAACTGAGGAATATTCGACAAAAACCACCAAACATTCCACAATTTGTTAAATGCTTAATCAATCAACCAAATATGAGTTTAAAATCAACAGAAGAAGCTGGTATTAAGTAAATATTGACTGGCTTTGTATATATTTATATAAATATTTAATTATTATTATGTTTTAGTGCGAAAATCAAGTGTTTTACTGAATTTGAAAGCAAACTTGATGATTTATTGCAATATCAACGCTTAACTTTAGAATTGTTTGCATGTGAGGTGGAAACATTTGATCAACTGGATCATTTCGTAGCAGAAATCAAAGAATATGTATTAAAGGAGTTGAAACATTGTGAAACACGGATGGAAGACATGCAGTTGATTGTTGATGATTACAAACTGTATCAGCAGAAACCAATTGAAGAAAAGTGGCATATACTTGGATTAATATTGAAATTAATCGAAGCAGAGCCAGATATTGATCTTACAGAAGCGTTACTGGTGATTAGAGCCTTTGAGGATAAATGTGTGGATATTAAGAGGAAGATGTTCATTGTAGATGTTGATTTCATGGCTAAGGAATTACAAAAAGTGTTAGTATTTGTATCTTGTAGCAAATTTTGAGTGTTTTACTAGTGTTTTACTGTTTTTGTTCTTTTAGGGAGACGAATAATAAGGTTTTGCATACATTCCTAAGCAACAAAGCAACTGGTAAACCTACAGTGATTCCAAGCAATGTTTACGGCACATTACGACAAGTTTCTGACTTTATTGCATTTCAATGCAAGATTATCAGACATGATCGTGAAAAACCCAGAGAAACTAAGGTTAATCATGTTTATCATTATAATTTTCATCTTTTTTAACTTCTATTATATCTATTGTAGCGTAAATTAGAAGCCAACAAATGGTTGAAACTCCGCCGTCAACTCTGGATGTATTTCCTCCGCAAACCCGAAAAAATGGAACAAATCCTTGATGAAATTGAGCGTTACGTCCACGTAAAACGTTCTGCCTTCCTCACATCATAAAAATGTGATGATTTCATTGTTATAGTATACAATTCGTGGCAATTGTTTATTTATAATGTTGCATAAATTATTTACATCAAATTACGAATTATGTGACGCTCGCACAAATTTATTAAATATATTAGATGCTTTATATTAGATTATGTTCATTTTAATGTTAATTGGCAGTATATATTTACTTACTTGCTTTACTTACTGACAGTTATGTATAGTTGGTTGTATAATAGTCGTAGGCTGGATAATTATCGCGATTTTCGTATTTTGCGTCCGTGGATGAACCAGACACCTCTGGATCTAGATTAATATGTATTGGGTTGTTGTAGTCGACTTGAAAATGACTGCCGGGGTTCTGCGGGACTTGACCGAGAATTGTTTTGTTTAGTTTCTCAACCAGATCGTCTAACTCGGTTTGGAAGAGGGTAGCTGTAACTTTGGTTGCGTTCTTATACAAGGAGCGTTTATTACGTGAGAGTAAAGGGAGTGTGAACTCTGATTGGGATTCCGGAGTGTCATCGTTGCCAAATTCCTAAAAGGAGAAAAGTTTGGTTAGATTTTTCTGACACCAGAGGGCGTAAGTGTTAGGAAGACCCAATGAAAGCTTACCAAACACTTTCCACTAATACAATAAGCCTTCTTATCCGCCAGACCCCTAGAACAGTCCGTACCAAATGGAAACCATCCCTCCTCACCATTGACTAAATAAAACCTGTGCGCAATAGATTCATCCTGACAAGCAACACGACAAGGTCGATCCGGGTCCTCCAAAGCTGGTGATATTTGCATGCCAAGACCGGAAAGACGCCGCACACGCTCCTTGTACTTAGAGCACACAACAGACGCGTGTTGAAATGGCGTCTTCATGCGATTACAGCCATATTGTTCCGGTTGGCAAAGCTGGATGCTCGACTTGTGTTGATTAGCTTTGTTTACAACCAATCGGATACCGCTACCTGGAGCAATACAGTTGAAATGGCACGCACTGGCGCTGCTCCATTGAATCGGAGGGTTGTCCCTGCGACGTAAACCAGTGCGGTAACCCACTTCATTATCATCGCGTTCACCAGGACACAGTTCGGGCATCTGTGCATGCTGTGCCTCGTCGTACGGATCACAGCCAAAGTCCTCACAGCGGCCGTTGATACAATAACTGGCTGTGGAGTATTT